CTCGACCCTCTCTCTCGCTTCTTCTACCGTGACCCGCGTGGACCCGCGCCACACAATTGGGGCACATCGCTTTCTGATGAACGCTGTCTGGGATCCGTCCAGCATCACATAAAATCAAGAGGGTTCGAGGATGGCGTGGGACCCGCGGAACCCGCGCAGAGCCCTTCTGATTGTCTGGCCGCCACAAACAATACTGTACCCGTACGCCCACGACTGTAAACTCTAGACTCTCTCTCTCTCGCTTCTTCTGGACCCGTGGATCCGCGCCACACAATAGAGCCACATCGCTTTCTGGAATGGACCCGCAAGGCCGCGAGGGCCGCGTAAGACCTGCGTGGGATCCCCGGGACCGGCGCAGAACCCGCGCGGGTGAAGAAAAGCGCTTGCTTAAGAAGGACTATGAGGGAAGGCTTAAGGGAGATTTTTAAATTTCTTTCCATAGACCTCTTGAAGCAAAAGATTGATTTAGTGCTTCCACGAGAAGTTTTAACCTGTTTGCTCCAAATGATCTGCAACAAACCCACCGCGTTCAGTGCAGCTGTAAGCTACCAACGGAGCAGATATTGTCACAGGCATAAAGCTACAACGTGAATATCAATAATAAGGTTCGAAGATAGTAATGTACGCAAGCTACATGCAAGGGTCTGCGATCAGTGAAGAAGCTCTAGTCCTGATAATCAGCGGGTTGGAACTCACCGGAGGTTGCTGAATGTCCGAGCTGCGTTGCCTGGTGACTACACGGGCATGGAGAGTTTTCTCTAACCTTTTGAAGGAGTCCTTGCGCCACGTGTTGCAAAACGAACGCTTGTTCAGCTCCCAGCATGGTCAGACCTTGCTCTATCATCTTGCGTGAGCGTGTCCGCCAAAAGATGTCAGAACTTTTCCATGCAATCCAGCGTATGATTGAAGAGAGAGAGCGCCGGGACTTCAACTGGGGGAGTTAGAGGGCTTGGTGACACGTGGCCGGCTATTGCGTTTTGTGAATTATTGCGTGAAGCCTTCCCTGCTTGAAGCTGATGAATTACTCCAACGTCAATTCGGAAGGCTATGGGGCGAAGTTGTGTGCTTCTGTCGACGTCTTGCGGTTTTTTTGCCACTCATACGCTGTGTGTGGAACGAGCAAGCTTATGCTCATGGTGGAGCAGGGGCTGAGAATGATGCTGCTGATGATGAAGGGGTTCCTTGCGAAGTATCACTTTGAGCATAAGGTGAGCAATTTTGGCTGCTGCTTACAGGGAGCACGATTTTGCGGAGTATTTTCTGGTAGAGATCAAGATTTGTGCTTCGGCAAAATATGTCGGCGCCTTTTGCTCACGGTCCTATTTCATGTTGCAGGACGTTATCGGCAGGCCTGTTTTGTCACATGTTGATGTACTGTGCTACACGGAGCACCTTACTGCAGTCTGGACTTGACTTTTGTATGCGTTGGCTGGCTGCTTGTACTATTCGGACCTGGAAATCTGTCTCAACTGCCTGCAGCTCGGATCAGCTCATCAGTTCTTGAATCACCATGGCGCAGCGTGCACAACGGGTACATCGGCCCCACCTGTCATCTCGACTAGGACAAGGCCGGTTTCGGAGCCTGGCTCGCCATTGCAGCCACCAGCAGTACGTCCTCGCGTCAATTCACGCAATGAGACGATCATGCTGATCAGACAGCCGGGTCCACCCTCGCAGCAGAGTGTACCACCTCGTCTCATCGCGCCGGTGATGGCAATGTCCGTGTCCCATGGCAAAGGGTACACAATGAAAGAAGCTTGGCAGGCAGCCTTAAACGCTAAAAAACATCGATGGATCTCCCTTCTTGATGAAGCGCCACGACATCTCCCTAGCAGCCACGAATTAGTTCAGCTTCAGATCTCTCCTCTTTGGATTCAACACGCCATGAGATTGGTTGCTGCTAACGCCCCGAGCACGCTGAACGCATATCTCTCTGCCTGGAACCCCCTGGAGAGACTTCGCCCAGGCTCAGGATGAGTCCTGGGTGGAACCAACCTTGGCATTCCTGGTGGACTGGATTCACTCACAGGCTCGTGGTCGCGTGTACGCAGCGTTGCACTCGATCAAGGCTCTTCGCTTTGTATCCAAGAAGATGATGCTGAACCGTCTCTGTGACTTGCTGTTTTCTGACTTGGTCAAGGCCTACTCAGTTCCCACTGAAGCTGCCGAACGCCGGGAAACGGCACCTCTCCCACTTTCGTTTGTGGTGTACCTGGAACGGGTCGTCATTGATGGCAATCAGTCTGTACTGCGCAGATTGCAGTGTGGGTTCATGCTACTTGCCATTGGGCCAGCTTGAGATTCTCTGATTGCTTGTGGTGCAGCCCAACACAAATTCACGCAGCCTCTGGAGCACTCCTTGGTACGGCCTTGAGGACAAAGGTCACATCGAGAGCGATGCCGTGGGCCTGAATAAGAGCTGGGCATTGTTGTGGCTTCAGCTACTTCAGGCGGCGGCGGCGGCAAGAACAACGTCTCTGCGTGGCATCAAGCCGGACTTCCTCTTCGCCAAACTGGGTGGCTCGGCTGATGCCCCACATTTCTGGGAGCCCATGAGTCGTGATGAGGCACTGGTCATGCTCAGGCAGTGTCTGTACGAGTGCTATCGTGATGTTCCAGTTGACTGCCGCCCTGACCTGACCTTCACGGGGGTGCACAGTTTTAAAGTCACATTCCTGAGCTACGCTAAACAACTTGGGCTACCTGAGGGCTTCATCTTCAACAAGGCCATCATCGCTCTCGCCGAGGTGAGATGGCAGAATTGTATGGCCGAGACGACGTGACGACGTGAGTGGCCATTACGCGTCCAGGCTGACCTCGCCAAGGCAATCCTCAATGGATTCAGACCGCTTCGCGCCAAAATGCGGGGGGCTCTGCCGCCCTGTCCGGATATCGCTGTGGTGCTGCAGTCTGATGGGCTGGACTCGGAGAGTGTCATACCGGCTCTGGCGGATTGTTGCTCTCCTGAACCCGAAATCTGTACTTTTTCGGACTCGGATGACGAGATCAAGCCTACGAGGCAGGAGTCCATCTCGAAGCAGAAATCGGGCAACGAGCATTCGACTGAGGTGATTCTCACCCCATTGCCGGTGGCAGAGGCTTCTGATTCGGCTGGTTCGGCGTTCAGACCTGACACCGCCGTGTCAACTGAGCTCAGTGATCTTGGTGAGCCGGAGGAATTTCTGTTCCTTGTCAACAAGGCCACAGGCATAGCTCACATTGCCAAGCAGTGTGCGGAAGATCATCCCGCTTTGCAAGTCATGCTGTTTGCTGAGTCTGGGAACAGGGCCCTGCGCACAGGCTGCTCTGTTCGTAGCTGCTGTGGAGGCCTTTGTGTCATGTCATGATTTACCCTCTGGTTCTCGGCTTTGCTTGAAATTTGGTGGGTGCGGTCGCTTCCACACTGGCAAGTGCACTCAGAAGTCCTGCAGGTTCAGTCATAACTGTCCCATCTTGGATGCATCCGGTGTCCCGTGTGGTGCGCCTCACTCGGCACTTGCCCACGCTAAAGCAGCACATTGACTGCCTGTGGGGGGGATTTTACATTCCCCCCTCTGCGTGAGTCCACTGCAATTCTTGCATCAGGTGAGATCAGCCTGTGGCCGGTTCCTTGCAGTGTGTTGTATCCTCTGGTGGGTCCACCTGTGGGCCTTCCGCGCAATCCCTTAATTTTGCTGCGGATGAAGCTCCGCCAGCAAGCTCCGTCGAAGTCGGAAGGGACGCCATTGCCACGTCTTCGGAAATGGGGCCTGCGTCAAAATTTTCTGTGGTAGCAGAGGAGACTTGCTCCACTGCTGCAACTGGTGTGTCATCTGTGTCGACGCCTCATCCCACGGGGGTTGAGCCTTTATGCGCCGTGTCTTCTCTTTCAGTTTTGCCTGAGCCAGCCTCAGGCTCAGAATCCGCGCAGCCGTTGTTCAAACCGAGCACGGATTTACAGGAGCATTCCTTTTCTTCATGCCTCGCACGTTTATGCGCAGCCTTTCCCAATCCGCTGCCAGCCAGGAGGCCAGGCATTTTGCAAAGGTGAGGGAGCAGCGGCCTACTTTGTGCTTGGTGCCTTCAAGCACCCTCCACGCCAGGGTATCACAGCGCTCACAGCACAACATGAGGCATTGTGTTGCTACCTGAACAGCTTCTTACGCACCCACTTTCCAGCATGCAGCTGGACGTCTGTTGTGATTTCACACAACGAGGCAGCTTCACTTCATGTGGATCACAATGCGGCAGGTTTGCTGAATCACTGCATTGCTCTAGGTCAATTCACTGGAGGTTCGCTTTGGGTGTCGGACCAGTCGGGATCTGACTTCTTCTGGGACATCGCATCAGGTCGCAACTTGCCAGGCCGCATTCTTGACATATTCCAGCAGCCCCACATGTTCAGTGTATCATCGCTTACACTGCGGTTGCTTCTTCCGATCTGTCTGCGGCAAACCTGGCACGCTTGGGTTGTTTAGGGTTTCCTTTGTCTTCAGGGTCCCTAACCGTACCCCCTTGTCTGCCTCCTCTCCTGCGCCCGTGTCTCCCCCTATTAAGCAAACCTCTGAGATCCCTGCAAACGTATCCGTCTCAGGGTCTGATCCACACCTTGAAAGCCCAACTCAGGTGCAACCAGCGTGCCCTCGGCTCTTCTTGGATCTGTTTGCAGGGGCTAGAGCTCCTCTCACTCAGGCAGTGCGTGCACTGGAGTCAAAGACACATGAAGGTCACAAACCCGACACCTTTGAACCTGTTGATCTCATCTCCGGTCCTGAGTGTGATCTGTTGAACGATGAGGCATATGCCAATCTTAGCAGCGCCGATTTGCAGCGAGCACTCGATTCTCAAGCTCAGACCTGGAGGACCACGTCCTGTTCGCACGCCAGGTGCACTGGATGGCCCTATGAGCAACTCTTGGTCACAAACGGTTTCTGCGCAGGATTCGGCGTTGCTTCATGACAGGTCACGTGAACTCTTGACACTGGTCGCTTCATCAGAAGGTGCCATAGTGTTGGAGAATCCTCCCACACCCATGACCTTCATGGATCCTGAGATGCAAGCTTGGATAAGGGCGGTAGCTCCCTTTGCCATCCAAATCGCTGCATGCCTGGGCGTTCGTCTCCAACAGACCAGAGCTCCTTCAGCTAGCCAGGGTGTGTGATCACAGGCCAGGGGCACATCCCACTCAGAAGGGCAAGCGCTTGACAGACGGCGCCTTTGCTAGCAGGCTCACAGCGGAGTATCCACCCCAGCTGGCGCGCGTGCTTGCTGAGTTCTTTCAGCCGTTTCTCACTCCCCAAAACAGAATTGTGACCATTTCTGCGTGGCGTGCACGGCTGCCAACCAAACCGGCCTGGCAAGTGTCCAACGTCCGGGTGGAGGATGGTGGTGGTCTGCTTAGCACGGCAGACTGGCTGCGACCGCGCTCTGGGGATCACTTGTCCAGCTTGCGGCGTGCGTGGTCGCAACGGCTACTGACGGATGGCCTGTGCAACAAGATTGCTCGGCACTTCTCTGCAGCCCCTGAAGCCCCGCCACTGGATGACGCTGAGCTCCAACCTTTCCTGGCTGACCTATGCCACTTCTTCTCTGTGAGTGATAGGGAATCCTTCCTGAGCATTTCACCGGGTCAGCCATTCCGGCTAGGTGTTTTCCAGAGGCTCCTCCGATGCACGCAGGATCCAGAAGAATGTCTCTGCCCAATGCTTGCAGAAGGTGTACGTCTAGGTGTTGGTGTCCCACTTGCACCCAGCATCCATTCAACGTTGCATGGCTCGTCCGCACAAGTGGATCTCACGATTTGCGAGGGTAGCTGGGCGTCCGCCACTTCCCATCCAACTGAGGTGGAAACCCTCCTGGCTGAAGAGCTCAAAGCAGGCTAGATCATGGAGTACGCTTCTTTAGAGCAGGTGCGCGCAGACTTTCCTCAAGTCGTGTGCGGGAAGTTAGGGTTGGTCCTTGCCGAGGGACGTAGTCCTAGGCTTGTGGTTGATTCTTCGATTAGTGGGGTCACTCAGTCGTGTGAGATGCCAAATCACATGTTCTTGCCCAAAATCGTGGATGTGGCCAATTGTGCTCCAACATCTTTGGGTGCTGAAGACTGGCTTGCAGCATCCATTGATGTACGCAAGGCACATCGTTTGATCAAAGTTCATCCGAAGGATCAGGCGTTGCTGACGTTCTCCTGGCAGGATCGTTATTTTGTCTGTCGCAATCTGAACTTTGGTGCACGACCTAGCTCCTTCTGGTGGGCAAGAGTGGCTGGATGCTTGGTGCGTTTGTCCCATGCCATACTGTTCCTCCAGCATCTGCTTTGGGACTATGTAGATGACTTTTTAGCAGGCTTTCAGCGTAGTACGGTGCCCTTGCACTTGAGCACATGGATTGTCCTGTTCCTTGTTCTCAACGTGCCCATCTCGTGGCACAAATGCGCGATGGCGCCTGAGGTTCTTCGGCTAGGCTGGAGCATCAATCTTTGGTCTTGGAAGGTGGAGCTTGGCGAGCAGAAACGCTGCGTGTTGATGGCACAGATTCGCACCTTGACATCACTTTGGTGCTTCCTGCGACCTTTGCTCAGCCCTCTCTTTGCAGTGCTGCGCAACATTCCTGCCTCCAATGTTGCTGTGTCCCCAACGCTTTGGCAAGCCTTGCTTGCGGCCACTGACCAGCATGGCACAGTCACTGGTCGAGTTCCACATGGTTCCTTCCCAGTGGGCGCCAAAATCATTTGTGTGGGTCACACCAACATTCAGAATCGCTCTGACTTGGAGCGCGTTGTGTTCCTGGAGCGACGGCTTTGGGTTTCAGTACAGGATTCTGATCAAACCTTGCGGCTGATGAATGCCAACTCCCATGCGGCGTTACAAGCCTGGCTTGATCTACTGAACTCATCTGCTCTAGTGTGCTGCATGCGAGCGGCGCCGACGCTCCGCATCATTGCTGAAGCAGATGCCTTTGCCGATTCCATTCAGTGTGGCTTGGGACTTGGGAGGTCACGTCACCTGGCCATCGGGGGAGTACACTTGGTTTTCCTTGCATCTCTCCCTGGCAGAGTTGCAAGGGCTCGCACCAGTGTTTGTAGGTTCACCCCAAAGCCACATCTCTGCGTTGGAATTGCTGGCGCAGCTTTGCCTGCTCTGGTGTGTGCATCATATGCTGCCAGCGTGCCACACGTTGGTTATTGTTCCTCTGCGTACCGACAATGCAGGTGCGGAACTGTCTCCGACAAGGGTTTGTCGTCCGTACCTGCATTAGCACACGTGGTGCGGGCTCACATGCACTTTCAGAGGTTTAGCGGCATCCAGGGCGAGATGGCGCGCATTCCCGGGTACAAAAACACCCTGGCTGATGAGCTCTCACGCTTATCTGGCTCTCCTGGGCCGCTTGAAAACTCAATGCGAGTTCATCCTCCTCTAGCGTGTTTGTTGGGCATGGGCACAGGTGTGGCCCTCTCTCCCAGGATTCAGCAGTAGCCAAAGCACTGGCAGAGCATTGCGAGGTAAAACAAATCCCGATCTGCGCTTGGTGAGTTTCCCGTTGGGTCGTGATTCGATTCAATCTGGTATTTGCCCCAACTTTATCGGTCACCTTGCTTATCACTTTCGCATCAAGTTGATGTTGAACGTATGTGATAACTGTGGTTGGCTGTGTGTGGGTGGGGTGGTTACCACTGCGGGTTTGGCACCATCGCAAAAATCTGTCACCGGGATTTGATTGAGCTTTAGTTCGCTTTTATATTTTGTAAGGAATTCGTCTACTTGATATTGACGTTATAAATTTGGAGATTTTATGGATTGGAGATTTGATATATCTCTGATTGATTATGCTGTGAAATATTTGGCGACGTTGAGCTTGAACGTACACGGACTTAGTTGGGAAACGTGGACCTTCCACGAACTGGAAGTCACAACTGGCATTGGGCCAGTCTAGCTCGCTTGTGGAGCGACCGTGTGCAATATCTTACTGGTGCTTTTAGGGGGAGTGAGGGAGAGCAGGGACTGGTGTAGGGGGATCGCGCGGGGATGTCCCCCTTAAGCACGAGTAAGGTATTGTTGGAGCATTTCCAAAACCACCGAGATGGGCAACCCGTACTGTGTTACGATTACCTGCAAGGAGCCTTGTGAGGGCTCGAAGAATCGGTTCAAAGTCGGAGTCTAGTTTATTTTTCAAGACTTCACAAACCCTATGCAGGATAAAACATGCACAGTCGGTGAGAAGTCCCATCCGAATGGCTCGGACAAGGATGACTACCCCAGGACCGTCGCTGCATGTTTTTGGGGGTTGGACCTCAGAAGGCTTGCGATGTAATGCTTTGAAGGACTCAGTTAATCGCAGTTGCAGGGAAGTCTCCTAACCCCCCAAGAACTACTACCCCCCTTGTATATAATGGTATCGTATTGGGGGCGTAGAGCCGGGATCAATTTGAACAAATTCTTTCAAACTTCAAAGTTGCCTGAACTGGCGGAGTGCAGGTCCCACACCGTGGAAGCCATCACTCTATCGCCGGGGAAGGTGGCTGTGTGCGCTGAAGACAGACCCTGGGCAGCGTGAGTCACCTGAGCTATAATCTAAATTTTTTTTATAGGGGGCTATATAGGGGACTATATGAGGGACTACTTTCGGGCTGATTAAGGGGGATACTTGGAGTTTGGACCATGGCTCATATGTAGTGATCGTCTGGCTGTATCAATTTGTTTTAGGTTTTAGGTTTGCACGACACCTGGACTGCATCTCCCTTCTGTTGGAGTTCATCTGTTTCTGTTAATTTGCTGTGTTTTTCACATCCCCAAAAAGCGCGGCAACGGCCACAGTTCAGAGGGTAGATACTGGTCATGATCTAGGTTGTGAACTACCAGTAATTACTAAACTTTAAAACCCATACCCCATAGACTTTATATACCCCAAAATGAAGCAAACTTCCACGTCGGAGCGGAGCCTGGTAGTGCTGCAATAGCCAAGGAGACAGCACCGGTCATGGAGTCAACGACGACTTTAACAAGGTCAACCCAACTTGTGGAGTCTACTCTCTTGAGCACTAGGTGTCTTTGATGTTTTGTTGCCCCTTGCAACTGGACTTCATGTAGATTGCAAAACATTTAGTCGACTCGGTGTGCGTGTGACTGCCTGCATCTGTTTGCAAAAGGGCTGAACGAGTTGTTGACCATGTTGCAGCCTAGACCTTGGCATGAGAAAGTCGAAGTTAAAACCAAGCAATCTCCTGTAGTTCCGTTGTGATTACCTGCTTAGCTTCCAACTAGTTCATTTGGCCACAACTGCCTGCTAGAGGAGTTTGGCCACATAACTCAGGAAATCTCTGGGGGAGTTGAGTAGACTTCCCGATATCATCCCCTTGAGAATAGTCACCACAGGTGTGCTGAAATTGTTTACCCCGCTCCTGATCTGCTTGGAACTCCTTCATCAGAGCATTCTTCAGGTGCGCATCAACACACCAATCACCACAGAAGTCGTAAGCTCCAAGCCCCGACCTCAGTCGTGTTGCCTTTAGCAATAGCAGCGGAGGACAACTTCAGCAATTGGATGTTTGCCTGGGGCCGCCGTTGTACTCTGCATCCCGAGATCTATGGAATTGTGTTTGATGCTCCGTTGAAACATTATCAGTTCCGATGAACCCGGCGTCAGGCCCCATCATGAGCATCAGGCAGCACAGGGACTCTCGCTTTGCGAGGAGAGGAGGACAGACCTGGCCTCAGCACCTCTCACCATGAAGACTCGCACACGTCTTGTACATGTTTACGGTCACAGTCTCTGATACGTCTGAAGTTGTTTGGACAAGGCTGTCGGCGTCATGCGTTTGGTTCAAGACGATGTAATTTGGGTCGTTCAGACCCCACATCGCTTCAGTAATGAAGTTAGTACCTGTTTTGCTCCTTGAACTGGTGACAGCAGGCTCAGCATTGAAGACGCATGAGCTGAAGACATGCACAGGTGCTGTGCTTGAAGGCCCTGAGTTTCTCTGTCTGGATGTGACAAAGGACTGCTCCAAATTCATCAGCTGCCTGGTATCTGCTATCAATGTGCTGAAGAAAATGGCCAGTGCATACATCAGGCTCTGTGCAAGCAATCTGAGGAAGCAAGTCTGCATGATGACTACATGGCCAGCACACTGTCGTATGCTGCTGGTGCAAAGGCCCAGTTTGACTCCCCAAGTGGCCTTGGCAGCTGGACGTTTGTTACGT